CATTTTGCATGACTTGGGGAGTAGCATGATTCTGGGACAATATATATCTGCTAGGTGACAAAAAGAAAAAAATTTCTATGATAAATGAAGTAATGATTTTGGCACTAAGAAATTCATAAAAGGGAGATAACCTGTTGATATCCTTGGCCGTCTCTGAAGGAACTCTTAAGGTAAAGGGACTGTCATGCTTGGCTGCTTTTGGCTTGTAGTCCCTGAAAGAATTCATCATAAAATTAATGTAAGAATAGCTTTTTCAGAAATACTATACATGTTATGTAAATATTCAAAAGTTTTAAAAAATATTTCAAAATTTCTACAAGCCTTAGGAAGACATTGAAATTCACCAAAAACACATAATTAGATAAATGTTAAAGTTATGATGAATTCATTTTTTTTTTTTTTTGGTAAATTGAAACTTTACAAAAGCCTATTAAGATCAGTCTAGAGAGAAAAAAAATTAAAAGGCGTAATAACAACTTTTGAAAAGGCGAAAATGCGAAAAAAGGCGTAATAACACGAAAAAAGGCATAATAACGCCTTTTGAAAAGGCATTATAACGCCTTTCTAAAAGGTGATATTACGCCTTTCTAAAAGGCGTAATAACCCCTTGACGCCTTTCTAAAAGGCATTATTACGCCTTTCTAAAAGGTGTTATTATGCCTTTCCAAAAGGCGTTATTACTCCTTTAAAAAAGGCGTTATTACGCCTTTCTAAAAGGCATTATTATGCCTTTCTAAAAGGTGTTATTACGCCTTTCCAAAAGGCGTTATTTTGCGTATTTCGATGGTTCGTGGCTTTAGCTCTTTTATTTCAATATGCACAATCTCTGCAAGGAAAATGAATAGAAACTGCAAATAAGTGGAATTTTTCTAAGTCCAAGGGGCATAACTTTGTCAAAAATGGTGCGATCATACCCAAAACATAATATGACCTAGATATTTTCCTGATAAACCTGTATATCAAATTTCATGTCAGTATGTGCAACGGTTGTGAAGAAAATGAACGGAAACTAAATGGACGGACAGGCCGACCGATAGACAGTAGCAAAGCAATATGCCCTCCCTTCTTCGAAGGGAGGCATAAATAACATTTAAACAAATGTAGACAAATCATACTCAATAAAGGGTTAGGGTTGGAAAGAGTTTCAGAAGATGTTAGCTTTGCGCTAAAAGTGTAATATAATTTAAAAGTTTACAGAAATATACTAGGCCAGGAAAATGTTATTAGGAAACATAAAATGGTGAAAAATCACATATTATTAAGCTGATTTTTACCTATTTGCTCTTTTCTTCATAAGAACTCTCGATGTACAACCTTTTTTTTGGTCTCATTAATGTTTCCGCCCTGTCCTCTTTATACATGTACGTACGTATGTGATACTTGTAGAGCTAACTGGATTCTCTATAAGTGTGTGAACCTAAATGTGATCGAAATGAATAAGAAATCCATCAATAAACATTCTTTTTTATATAAATGACAGTACATGTATAGTTATTTCATAGGCATTCTGATGTGATAATTTACTCTAGGCCTGATTCTCATTTGGAATCCAACATACATTGACATAAGATAAAAATGTTTAATAGCTGCTATTTTTTTCTCTATAACACCTGTTTATTATGTACGCAATGCTGATTATGTTTTTTTTCAGTGCTTTGAATTATTCATGTGTTTTCTTTGAACAAATAAATATAACTAGGAAAATAATAATGTAGCTCTTGAACTGTTTGGTACCAAAATTAAAAGCTACGTTTCCTTTGATTAATTAGGATGCTTGAAATATTTCCTGTTCCATTAGTCTTGCAATTTCTATAATCATGATAATTAGGAAATTCTGTATTTAACAAAAAAGTATCCTAATTTTTCCTTTTTTGGAGATACATGTACCGTATACACATAACTATACAATATCAGTGATGATTGTCAACCTGTATGATAATAGCTGTTGCTCTCTTTGTAACTGAATATTCGGATTCTGTTATCGATTGTAGATTCGCTATGATAACCCTAAAACATCTAAGATAGGTGATAACTTTACCTTTGCCATAATTTCTTTATTTGAATACTATTTAATATGTAAAACAGAGGTCTTTACATCTCTAATACAAATGTATTCACTTTCCGTAATGTGATAATTTAATTGTATTTGTAATGAGTTTCACTGCTAAAATCTATTTTGTTTGTACTTATAAAGGTAAAAAAAATATTTAACAAAAGGCCCATGTGCCATTAGTTAAACAAGAGGCCCAGGGGCCACATCGCTCACCTGAGCAATTGGTGAGGAAAAAATACAGATCAGATCAGAACTGAAAGTTCACTGAGGGCTGGGGGGGGGAGTGGGCTTGAATTTTAACCCCCAGGGGTCATGATTTGAACAAACTAGAATCTACACTACCTGAGGATGATTCCCTATAAATATCACTAAGCATGGCTTTGAAGTACTTGAAAAGAAGATTTTAAAAGGTTTCCCTATATATTCCTACGTAAAACTTTGATCGGCCATTAGGCCCCACCCTACCCCCAGAGGTCATGATTTGAACAAACTTGAATCTACACTACCTGAGGATGATTCCACAGGAGTTTCATCTTTCATGTCTCAATGGTTCTTGAGAGGAAGATTTGTCCAATATATACCTATGTAAAACTTTGATCTGCCATTGTGGCCCCACCCTACCCCCGGGGGTCATGATTTGAACAAACTTGAATTTACACTACCTGAGAATGATTCCACATAAGTTTCATCTTTTCTGGCCCTGTGGTTCTTCAAAAGAAGATTTTAAAAGATTTTTTTTACTAAATATTCCTATGTAAAACATTGATCAGCCATTTTGGCCCCACTCCACCCCAGGGGGTAACAATTTGAACAAACTTGAATCTACTCTACCTGAGGATGATTCCACATGAGTTTCATCTTTCCTGGCCCAGTGGTTCTTGAGAAAAAGATTTTTAAAGATTTTTCATATATATTCATTTGTAAAATTTTGATCGGCCATTTTGGCCCCACCCTACCCCCGGGGGTCATGATTTGAACAAACTTGAATCTACACTACCTGAGAATGATTCCACATGAGTTTCATCTTTCCTGGCCCTGTGGTTCTTGAGAAGAAGATTTTTAAAGTTTTTTCATATATATTTATATGTAAAATTTTGATCAGTCATTTTGGCCCCACCCTTCCCCCGGGGGTCATGATTTGAACAAACTTGAATCTACACTACCTGAGGATGATTCCACATGAGTTTCATCTTTCCTGGCCCAGTGGTTCTTGAGAAGAAGATTTTTAAAAATGCCATTAATTTTTCTCTAATTCATAATTATCTCCCCTTGGAAAAGGGCGTGGACCTTCATTTGAACAAACTTGAATCCCCTTTACCCAAGGATACTTTGTAGCAAGTTTGGTTGAAATCGGCCCAGTGGTTCTTGAGAAGAAGATGAAAATGTCAAAAGTTTACCACAACAACAACGATGACAACGACAGACGACGGACAAATTTTGATCAGAAAAGCTCACTTGAGCCTTCAGCTCAGGTGAGCTAAAAACACAAATCAGCTCAGTATTGAAAAGTTTATTTGCTGGGGAAGGGGGATTTGAATTTTATTACTTGAAAATGTCATTACATGTAAATCAATAAGGCATATATGTATAATTTCGCCATACTTGAGAAGAAGAGTTTTAAAGATTTTTCCAACATATTTCTATGTAAAGATTTGATTGCCCATTATGACCTAACCTCGAGAAAAAGAATTTTCCTATATACTCCTATGTAAAACTTTGATCAGCCATTATCATGATTAGGCCTAGAAAAAAAATTTGTTTGTTTCCGCTTTCAGGCTGAAAAAATGTAGGGTAGGTAGGTAGGCAAATTTTTTTTTTACCTCTTTTATCAAAACGTGTATAGAAGTAACATTAATGACAAAAGAAATGGTGTTTTCAAGCATTTCTGTGACTTGAACTTATAATAGAAAGGTGACTCAAACTCCTTTCTGTCTTGAAAAGCTTGCAAAGTTGGAGACTATAATTCCCTGGGTGAAATCTTGCACTTCATGGGACAAAGGCATTAAAAAAAATTTTAGGGTCGGCACTATAAATTAGGGTCGGTCGGGAAAGCGGAAACAAACATATTTTTTTTAGGCCTTATCAGCCTTATGGCCCAATCCTACCTCAGGGGTCATGATTTGAACAAACTTGATTCTACACTACCTAAGGGGAGGATACTTCTACATGAGTTTTATCTTAACGACGACAGACAACGGACAAATTTTGATCATAAAAGATCATTTAAGCCTTCGGCTCAGGTAAGCTAAAAATGTATAAATTTTCAATCAACATGGTCAAATTTACACAAGATTTTGGTAACTTGTTGATTAAAGTTGAATTAAAATGCTTTTAACAATACTGGAAAACATATTCGAAATAATAGTTTTAATTTAATTTAAAAATTTACTTTGCGTTTCTTTTTGCTTTCAGTATATATATATAATTATCTTTTACCTCATTACAATTACCTGTCAGATAGTCCTGTCTGTTTAGGTACCTGTAGACACATACGCTGTTGTTCCATGATCCTACCCAGAGAAGATGAGTTTTGTCATCATAACTCAGACTCCATGGTGTAAATACACAGTCTTTCTGCCATGTGTGAATCAGTGACACAAAGTGGCCATCCTTGTCAATCAATTGCAGAGTTGAAGTGTTATGATCACACACCAGTATGTGTGACAGTGCGTCTATACAAACACATAGTGGTGCTAGTCGTGATCCTGATGGAGGTCCTGTGTAGGAGAAGCGATGTCTTCCTTCACGATCTGTCACCACTACAGCACCACGGAGAAAGTCAGACACAATAACATCTCCATTGTTGTTCTCTGTAATTGATGTAGGAAGAGTATAAAGCTTCTGACCTGTGTAGTCTGACTCTATTTTTTGTATGTGGTGTCCCCTACTATTGTAACGGTTCAACTTGCTTGTATTTTTGTAATCCCACATTCCAACCAGCAAATCTTCATTGGAAAGGGAAAAGTATACACAGAGTGGTTTCCATCCTTCTCTTCTCTTTATCAGAGTACAGTTTAATCTGTTATCTTTAGATAACTTGTTTATGTTATGATCCTTGGCTATATAAATAAGCTCACCTACACTGTTCACCGTGTGTATTCCATAATAATTATTTATATCTGTCAAATGATATAACGTATCACCGTCCATATTTGCCAGGATGAGATTATTGCCATCACTCAACCAGACCCGGTCTGATGATACACGAGAAATGTGTCTAACATGAAAACCTGTGATGGTAATGGATTTCTGTAACACAGGTGTAGACATCAGTTTCAGCACATACTCATCTTTCACTTGTCTTTGTCCTCTCTCCAGCTCTGTAATTTGATTTCGAATCAGAAGCTCAAACACACTCTCCTTGTTGATTCTATCTGTATGAGAGAAACAGGCGAGCTCTGTAAGATTAGGGGTTTCTTTTATCATTAAAAAATTGACATTCTTTATAAAGAAGAGGAATCTGACAGGTTGTTTTGCTGATTGTTCACACATGTGTTCATAGTTTTTTATGCTGGTGAGGTGCCCATTCATTATTCTGGTCTGTTTTTGACAAATTTTAATTTGTTGAATCACTAAACTTTTAAGTCTGAGTTTAACATCAGATACCACAGTGTCAATGGGGCCCTTCAGTCTTTGGGCTTTGGTTGACATTTCTAACTGAAGGTTTGAGATTTTTGTGTGACAAGTTTTTATATCAGTTTTAATTCTTGGTAAAAGAAAACAACTTTTATAGAGAGTCTGGCTTCTGATGCTGTGAATGATATCTTTGTGATGTCGACGGTTTGTTTCATAAGCTGTTCTGATATCCACCGTATTGTGTTTTCTGTGTTTTCTCCATGGGATAAAAGAAGGAACAATTCTGGGATATATGTGTTCTGTACATTGGGCACAAAAGGGCAGTTTACATAAATAACAATACATTTCATAGATCATATCTGGATGCTGCAAACAGGACTCTTGTTTCAAAATGATTTTAAGTTTCTCTCGGTATATCCCAACATCATGGTTTAGGTTATCTAGATCAATCACATGTTTTTCTTTACACATTGGACACAGGTCTTGATTACAGTTGTAACAGTAAAATTCCGTGTCCTCCTGACACTGAGAACATTGTCGTACTTTACACTGGGTGGTGGATCGTACAGTTTCCATAATGTTGAGGGTTGAGATCTGGAAATCTGGAAAAGAACAGAATGGTTAAAGCTTCTCAGGTGAGCGATTTGACCAATCGGCCTCTTGTTTTAGTATGCAGCTACACCAGTTAAATTTATTTGTATTTGTTGCGATTGATTTCAAAAATGCAAAATTAATTTTTCCATAATCATTTTGTTTGCCAGACTTTTCCCTATGATCATTTTTCAACAATGCATGGTCTCTATACTGCTATAATCAAAGGTATATCTCAGTCTCCCCCGTGTTTACATTTGATGGTAAAGGGCAGAGGGAATAGTATTGTTTACGTTCTACTTTCGGTTTACTCCCGACTGTTTACCTACCTTTATATTAAAATAGCCGAATATCAAAGATCAAATAACTTTTGACAGCTTTAGAATTTTGCGCCTCAACTTTCGGTTTTAGCTTGTATAAATACTTATTTTTACGCCTCCGCTGACTAGAGAGTTACTTATGAAATTTTAGCGGTAAATTCGAAATACAAAAATTTCAGTATAAACAAATGTAAAAATTCAAAGAAAAACTTTTCAGAAAATTAGAGACAAAACATGATTAAGAAATTAAGTAAAAATAAAGTGAACTGATATGAGTTACAAAATACCATAAAATGTTTTCTACAAGTAAGTGAGTTAAGTATTTTACTTATCAATCAGAATTAATATTGAACACAATATACTGTAACAGTTAATTAGTCAAACAAAGATATCTACAAATTTCCTAAAAATTCTTTAGTAAACCTAAATTAAAAATTACTGACTTAAGTAAATATTGTTATTTAAAGATAAAAACTATTTAAGAAATTTAGAATAAAAATTAATAAAAACTTACCTTAAAAGACAGAATCAAATCTGTAGAATTTCAATGAACTTTATTGCTTGAGACCAGATCGGAAAGTGATTTTACTAAAATCACTTACCGATGCGGTCACTCTACAGATTTGAATTCTGACCAATCAGGAAGCAGTATAACAGAATATTTTTAGCCAATTTCGGCAAAAGTTCTTTTATGTTTGACACTAATTGCTTAACTAACGAAGGTGTTAACTCAATTACTTATCTGTCCGCATACGCTTTTTTTTTTATAACAAAGACGGATTAAGAAAAGCCGAAACAAAGTAAACATTATCCGTGATGAGGAATTTCTTAGTGTCAAGTTAAGCGTATACAGAATTTTATTTCTAACGATGCCGAAATAAGAAAGAATTTGCTTATTTACTCATTGGCTTGCTATGACAATTTGATCTTAAAAGACATGCTAATTTCATACAAAGAAAGTGAGAAATAACTTTGTTACCTAGAAATCAAAAATCTAAATATTCACAAGTGACAAGATGTCACTATCAAACGAACAAAACATTTTTCCTAAACTAAACTAGACATGGCAAGAAACTGTGCAAAATTGAGTAATATTACATGTTGACAGTTTAAAGCATATTTTAATTATCGTTAATCAAGAATCATGAGTTTAAGCTATTTTTCAATTTTAACTCATGAATTAAAAATTCATGTATTTATAAATGTTACATTAAAAGTTTAAATCTAAAGTTTAAGCTTATAACACGATTCCAAAAAGTCGCGCCCTCTTGCGGGAGAGTTACCTACCTTATGTATTGATGACGTCAAACGAGGATAAACGTAAGATTCACACATGGTACAATGCACAAGATTCAAAACATAGTTCAAAAGTTGAACGTAAGTATATACTTAAATGGAAACAATTTTGTGTTAAAAAAACTTGCATTATTATATTTATAGCCGTTGTACTTTACGTGAATTAAATGAAGATGTTGTCTTGACAATCAATGGGCGTGAATGTTAAATCTACTTTCATTTTTGCGCACATTGTTATGTAAACAATGATACATACGTCAGTCATTCTACGAAAACATGACCAATTAAGATTTTTTCTATGTCACTTAAAAATATACCGTTATAACATCTTCACTTTAAATTATATGATTGATTTCAATTCTAAGTCTCAATTAACACATGGTTTTGTAAATATTTACAAGGCCGTATAACTACCATTGAGGCAAGTGAGGCAAATGCCTCACTAAATTTTTTAGAGTTTTCTGAAAAGTGAAAAAGTTCTACATTGAACTTGTGAATTAAGCGTGTCTTCGTGCTAAATTAATATTTTTGAAACTTAAGTTTCAATTTCTGTCAATTGTTCATCTCACCAGGTGTCTCATTTACATTTATAACGCATATTAAATATAATTCAAAATGATTGTTGTGTAAAATGTTTGATTGTTTAACATCCCTTCTGAAAATTTCTCATTCATATGGAGGCACCATTGCATGCCGATGGAGAGCAGCAAGTTTTAAATCTGTACCGTGCTTTCAGGGTCACTGAAAATGATTGAACAGTGAGGTATATTTTTGTGCCATCACTTACCGTGACATAGGGTCTCCGTTTTTACGGTCTCATCCGAAGGACCGGTCTCTTCATCCCGCAGTGGGATTCGAACCCGCGATGTCAGGATCAACTCCTTAGTCTGTGACTCTAGAGCATACGCTCTAACCACTGTACCATGCAGGCGACAATCCAAACCACGTAAAATAATTTTCAAATTAAATCTTTTATTTTCTAATACCCACGTTTCAGGATCCCCTGGAAACCCCATACTGGCCATCAGGTACTACCCTTCCCCCGTCTGGAACTAGGAATGCTCTGCACCCTTGCCTCACTAAAAATTTGAGCCTAGTTACGGCCTTGATTTACCTACTATATATGTATATATACTGTACATGTATGTATTCAATAAGGAAATAATGTAATGTTGAAAAAAGGATTCAACTGCAAATCTTCATGTCGTTCATTTTTAAAATTTACAATATCAAGATGGATTCTCAGCCGTAAAGAGTTCCAAAGAGAATGCAATGAATGTTTTAAAAGTTTTTTAACCTACATGTACAATGTATATAAAAAGAAATCAAATCACTTCGTGCAAAGAAATAGCACGATTCTTCCCTTTCATGCGAAATCATTGTCTGTCGCTAAAAATCGATTTAAATTCTATAACGATATGCAGATTTCAAAAAGAACTGAAACTTATCACGGAACTTTACATCATTGATATTAATAGCTAGTCAGTTTCTAGAATTTAAGACGATTACATTTTCGAAATAAACTCGTGAGACAGTCGATTTTTTTTTAACATTTTCACTCGTGCTTCGCACTCGTGAAAATATATAAAAAAAAAAAATCCTGTCCCACTGGCACTCGTGAAATAAAATAAAATTCCATATTCAACAACAAAACATTGAATACCCTCTATTTATTTCTTCATGAATGTACTAGTTCATCGATAGGCGCGGTTTAAAAAAATCACGTGCGGGCGGGCCGTGAACCGATTGAGACAGAAGCGGGACCTGTAGCACGTGGATAACTAAGCGCCCATTCAAGAGCATGTATTAATAAGGAATACTGTCCGATTTTTATGCAAATTATCACGCAAGCCACTCGATTGATGAAATAAAAAAATTAGAAAGTTATTCCTTAATAACAAAATCTTTTAATTAATTAAAACAAGTACAGTAATAAGTCATGGATTAATCGCGGGTGTCGGCAGAGCTAACAGACAATGATAGCTGCATGCCCCGGTGTTCAATATTATATTATATCTCCCTCCTTGCCACGAAAAGCTTTGGTCCTCCAAAGCCAAACTATTTACATGTATTTAGTGATTTTTTATAATTATTATATATATTTATATATATATATATATATATATAAAGCACATTTTACAACAACTCTTAAACTAACATAACTGCCCTAAGTGAAGAAATATTAATATAGAAAGCACATATATATATATATATATATATATATATATATATATATATATATATATATATATATATATATATATATATATATATATATATATATATATATATATATATATATATATATTTTGTAACTACCAAGCATAAAAATGAATTATAATGTATAGAAACATAAAAAGAAGTAAAATCAAAATGTTTACATGAAAAGTTATTACATTGTACATATGAGTACATGAAAAATACATAGAACACCAAAAAAACATCAAATAAAATGACAATACTATGCACAAATTCAAATGACAAACACGATGAAACAAAAACTACTACAGAAATATGTACAAGTGTGCACAAAAATAAGGAATAGGTAAAATTCTACTTTTATCCGTTTTGGATATCAAACTAACTGTCAAAGTGTGTACTTTGTACAAAATTTACAATCCAACAAACATATATTGTATAAATCTTGAAAAATACTGTCACAGATAAATCAAGTAACATACAATAATGCTAAACATATAAACATGGAAATTGACAAATGACCTATGGTAATTTTTAAAGTTCTTTAACATTCATTGAGTCTATAATGAAGGTGCCAAAATGAGGCAATGGTTGATACAAACCATGATGAGAAATCAAAATATGTACATCAAATGGTTGCTGAGTTATTATGTTCCCCAAACGAAGTTTGGGAACATATTGTTTTTACTTTTTCTGAATTTTTCTTTGTTCTCCGGTACTTTTTTGTCCGCGAGTGTTCTCGTAAACTACTCATCCGATCTAGGTGAAACCTTTTTAGGGTCACTAGGTATGTTATGCAGATGTGCGGAACGAAGGTCATTTTGCGCGCACGTGCGTGCGTGTGCGCATACGTGTAACACGTGAAATGACCAATATAATAGATATAGCCGTAACTTTTTAAATTTTGGATGAAATGCTTTGAAACTCATAACATAAGGATATATTAGTAGTATAGACATGATGACATGGTCAAAATAGCAAGATCTCACGCGCATGCACGTGGGCTTCGCTCCGATTGGCTGAAACTGAAAGTCTGAATATCTTTTTTGTTTTCTGACAAAATCCTTTGAAATTTTTAACAAAGCCTTACATTATGAAGATCTACAGCATGATATATAAGAATAATCATGAACACACGCACATGCACGTGTGCTGCAATCTGATTGGCTA